CTCACATCCCTGATCCAGGTGCCCTCACATGGATGAAGACGCTGGCCCCAGCTTCTCACGCGGTTCCTTACCCAGCTCTCTCCTGGCAGCCCACTGCTCACGTGTGCCAGCACACAACCCCAGGGAGCACTGCTCCCTTACACAGGAGGCCACTGCTCACGTGTGCCAGCACACGACCCCAGGGAGCACTGCTCCCTTACACAGAAGGCCGCTCAGACGTGGCTGCGCCTGCCCCCATCCAGGCAGACAGAAGCGGTGCCTGGGGTCAAGTCCGCCCTGCCTGTGTACGAGGAAACCCATTCGAGGTTGGCTGAGGGGACCCTTGTCTACGCTCTTGCCCATTATCTTCAGGCGGCTTCTCTAGAGAGCCCATGGTTTCCACGGTCCTGGAAGGGACCGTCAACTTCAGTTCAGTTTGGCTGAACAAGCGAGTGGTGAGCAGGGCAGGCACTCTGTCCTGTTTCCAACATGACTAAGCTCGTCACATACCACAGCAGGAAGAAAGGGAAAACAAACCAACACTCTCATCCTTACTGGTTCTGGTCCCCAAACCAGTGAACCTTGAATACTTCCCAGAAATCTGGATTCCCTCACAAAAACAATGTGATCCCTGAGTTTGGCTGTGCTGAGGTCTGAGGATGATGTGTTGTGAATATGACAACCATAAGAAATGTTATTAATGCAAACATGGTAATCTTGGCCGTTCTGGATTTTTTTCCTTTAAATAATTGTGCTTTGTATTTGACAAGTCAGTTCCATTTGAAAGCTGACTCTCCCTCTTTTCACATTGACATTTTCTTCCCTTTTCTAAATGCGTTGGTCTCTGGCCTTCTGACAGCTTCTTCCTGAAGATCCTGCCACACTGTTGGCCATCTGGCTCGTACCGATGGAGCCAACAGACATATGGTGCTTACGGTGCACCTTATCCGTGCCTGGACCCTTCAGTCCCCTGGCTCCTCTGAGGAGTCTCATGTGCTAAATCTGGTTCTTGCCTAGCTTGGTTCTGGTTCTGATTCTGAGGGCACATATCCAATTGTGCCACACTGGTAGCAGCAGGAGTGGAATCTGGGTTTGATGCTTTGGACAGACCATTAAGTCACTTCTGTCAGGGATTTCTAGAATCCAGTCCCCCTAGCAGTTTATTTTGGGTGAATGTGTTTGTCCCAGGATTCTGATATTTACTGGCATTTGAGAATACAGACTTGAAAAAGTATTTTAGGGTCTCTGTGATTACTGATAGAATTCTCTGTGTTATGTGTTTCATGGTGGTGACAGTAGGGGACTTTTAAATCTAAGCTCAGAGCTTCCTTTCTCATCCCAAAGTCCTGGCTTTTAAAGTCATGGTGGTCTCAATAGCTGTTGATAACTATAAAGAGAAAATTCTATAGCAAAGATAAAAGGAAACAAATCAGCTTTCTCTAATTTCTCTAAGTAATTAAATGATTCAAAAAGTAATGTCTCTTCAGAAATTTCTGTAAGAGGTTGAAAAGAGAGAGTGTCATTATTGTAAGGGATAGGGACATCTAAAGAAAGAGAGATTGCCCTGTTAAATTCAGAAGGAAATCTCCAAATTTCTCAGATTTTCAACAATGATACTTCCCCCCAGAAGACCTAATGGTGCTTAATTGTATATCTCAACTGGTCAACGTCTTGACAGACACTATTTCTACCTTGGATTCTGTTGGTGCATCAACGTTGGCTCCTCCAACTTGTACAAGAGGTGATAAAATTACCTATTTTATAAGTGTGAAAAAATTTTGAGAAAACAAATTGATATAGTTTACCTGTTTCTGTAGGGAGGTAATAAATCAGATTGTAAAATCTTTTAAAATCTAATGGAATAAGCTCCTGTTCCAAATGGCTTTTTTCTAAAAGCAATAGTACAATTTAAGTACTTACATAAATGTAAAGAATTCAGAGACTCCGGGCCGGCCCGGTGGCTCACTTGGGAGAGTGCGGTGCTGATGGCACCAAGGCCCCGGGATCGGATCCCATATAGGGATGGCCGGTTTGCTCACTGGCTGAGCGTGGTGCTGACAACACCAAGTCAAGGGTTAAGATCCCCTTACTGGTCATCTTTAAAAAAAAAAAAAAAAGAATTCAGAGACTTCTGAAACATTTTTCTACTTTCATGCTTTAAATCTGCTGACTCAGAATTTTTTTCTCGCTAAAACTTTTTTTTTTTTTTTTAAAGATGACCAGTAAGGGGATCTTAACCCTTGACTTGGTGTTGTCAGCACCACGCTCAGCCAGTGAGCAAACCGGCCATCCCTATATGGGATCCGAACCCGTGGCCTTGGTGTTATCAGCACCACACTCTCCCGAGTGAGCCACGGGCCGGCCCATCGCTAAAACTTTAATTTAGGGGGAAAGAAGCAAAAAACCCTTTTGACTATGGGTTTAATTAATAACTTTGGTTACTAGGTTACATAATAAGAGGCAACACATTACTGTTAACTTTAATATCTAATATATAATAGTATAAGAAGAAAAATTTATATAATATTCTAACCAAGATTATTCAGATTAATAAAACTTTTAAGATGTCTTTTCCAACAAACTGTGTATGGATTTTTTTACATGGCCATAGTAACACAAAAATATATTCTTTTACCTTATAAAAAAAGGAGATATTAAAATAATTAGTTATATTTGACATTCTCCAAATGATTGATTAGCTCAACACAATATGAGCCACTCTATTTATTCCTGCTTATTAAAAAGAAATGTTCAGATTTGCTAAGTTAAGTATTTAAACATTTTAGTGAGTTTACTGAAAACAGTCATACATTTCATTTTGAAAGGAAACATTATGATTTTCATGTACAAAGACTGACAGTATAATTGTCAACACATTCATTTATCTTAAATTTTGTCTCTAGGTTTTAATATCCTTGTCAATTGGTGACATTCTAACTTTTTGGGATAAAATAAAGGCCCTGGAGGGGCCGGCCCGTGGCTCACTTGGGAGAGCGTGGTGCTGACAACACCAAGTCAAGGG